TCTACTATGCTTTCACAATGTCTATCTCTCATAACCACACACCAATACTTTTATAAAGTGTTATGATATAAAAATTCATTTAGTTTCTTAAATTAAATCTAAAAATTAAATTTGCAGATGAAATATAAAAGTTGCCCTGATATAAATAAAAAGTGTAACAGTGGATTTCAGGTTCGGGCATTTCAAAAAATTTAGGCATTGAAATAAATACAAAAAGTAAAAATTAGTGACCTCCAAAGTGTTCTTATAGTAAAATGAAAAAGAATTTCCATGCCTGAATTCTAAGATCATAGTTAACTTCACAGTTCATCAATCTGATGCACCTTGCCCTCACATTTAACTTATTTGTAAATACTTTTCCCAGCCTACCTAAACACTTCCTAATTGGTTAAATATGCTGCCTATATTAATTCCTGTTAAAATTAAAGAAACTAAAGATCCACTTTTGTTTTTCAGCAGTGACTGATATACTTTCAAAGTATTTAATGTTTCAGAAAAGGTGTTTATCATGTTCTTAAAATATTTTTAAAGTGGCTCAAGGGACAATAGCACTTTTACCTTGAACATATTCACTATCTGGAATTTTGTGGGACAGAATCAGTTCTCTCCTTCTGAAACTCTTCCCTTACTCAAATAACTTAAGAATCTAAGATGTTATCAATATAAAGAGAAAAAATTTATATTTATTTCTTATAAATTGCAAACACATCAAAAAGAACATGTATTCCAGGCAGTGTAAGCAAAGTTATTTGGTAAGATTTTTCCCCCCTTGGGTGTGTGTGTGTGTGTGTGTGTGCATGTGTGTGTAACAGGTAATTTTTCACATATCTTAATTTTCCAAAGAACAAGATTCAAATTAAAAAAAAGAACATGTATTCCAGGCAGTGTAAGCAAAGTTATTTGGTAAGATTTTTCCCCCCTTGGGGGTGTGTGTGTGTGTGTGTGTGCGTGTGTGTGTAACAGGTAATTTTTCACATATCTTAATTTTCCAAAGAACAAGATTCAAATTAAAAATATAAAATTCCTAAAAGGAGCAATCATTTTGATACAGAGCTCAAGAGGCAAATGATTACTGAAACAAAACTTCAAAGATAGCTATAGATACATGTTTTAGTTATCTGGCTTTTCAAATCTCAGTTAAGACAAGAGCATTACATTTAATTTAGGAAAAAAAAACAACTCAATCTTTAGAAAGGAAAATTTCCAGAATACTAAACCAAAATGTATATAGTAACAACCAGTATTATGTTAAAAGTGAAGGAAAAAAACCCTATCTTTGGATGATATTAAAACACAAAGAGCATCCTTAAAATTTTAAAACTATATTAATAAAAGCAAATTCACTAATTTATTCACCTGTAAATACCTTTTTATTAAAATATTTTGGTTATAATAAATATACAGATATAGAGTTTCATCAGTATTAGCCCACACTCACAAATCATGTTCCACAGTAGCTAAATTCTTAATAGGATTTCTAACAGCAAAATTAGGCATATAAATTTCAAATAAGAATCTTCATCTATGAGGTTTCTCCAGTTCTAAATGAAATAAAGATTTTGAGTATACAATATCCTTAAATAATTTCTGTAAATTGGTATAATTTAATAATAACTTCCAACAAAGGAGCTCAACAGGTAATATTTCTAAGGTATCAAAAAAGTTCAATACAACCAATTCAAATTAGACATCGCGCTACTACAAATTTTACATTTGTGCACTCTGAGTGCGTTTTCTAATTCAGACAAGTAGCTAGTTGTGTAAAACCCAAATACGAAGAAAGTTTTATTCCACCCTATGTGTGAGGCAAAAAAAATAAATTAAAATCACAATACCAGCACTTTTATTTAGGTAGACAATAAACTAATCATAACTTGAAGTGTCCGAACCTGAACAACTCAGTGATCTACTACTATAATAGAAATACTTTTCCTTCACTTTTACAGAAATTGAATTTATTGATATTAGTGTCTAGTTTGTCAAAATGGCAACTATTCAAGATTGAAAAGTCTCATTTATTTTAAACACATAGCATAATTCTGACTTACGGAAAATGTAACCTAACCACCTTGAACCAAAATACTATGAAAATGTAAGATAAACTTCAAAGGTTTTTGTAGGTATTAATGACATTCTGAAACCTCTGGACAGAAGATTATTTGGGGAGCAGGGGAGTTTTTCTTCTCCACTGATAGCTTAATCCCTTTCCAATCAATTTTGATTTAACAGCGGTTCATGGGATTAATTTTTTAATGAGTTCTTAGAAAGTTGTAATTGCTTCCAAAATCAGAAGCCACAAGATGATGTACTCAAACACTATAATGCTGTTATGCAGGTATTTACAGAAAGGTGCAGAGAGGAGCTTCCTTGTGAACACAAGGTAACATGCAATTGATCACAAAATAATAATCTGTTTACACAGTAATGGCAAGAAAAAAGATTCTGTACAAGAAATTAAAAAATTCAGCTCTAACTTCAATCCATTTCTATACATCATAAAAACAAAGGAAAATAGGGATTTATTTCAGAAACTCCATATACCTATGGACAACAGAAGACAAATAATTTCTATTCAAGATTAACCTTAACCCTAAATAACTAACAATTTACATATTATAAATTTTAAAAATATTGTGGAAATCTAAAACATAAGAGCCAACAGTAGTTTCTGATCAGTAAACATTTCCTGTTAAATAACACAAATAAATTCAACTTAAAACATGCAAATTGATGTGTCTCAGGGTTTTAAAATCTTTTCAAAGGCACAAAGTTACAGCACATGTATAGGATGGACTTTAAAAATGGATACATATGTAAACTTTTCCATGGTGTTGATGTATGTGTTTTTTTTCCCCCAAAGAAATGCCTACTGCTTACAATGTTAAAGAATCTTCACCACTCTGTCTGCAATTTTCAACCAGAAGTTTTCAATGTACTTTAAGCCAAATGGAATATTAGGTATTTTACAGCTTTTACAAAATGGCTGTAAAATCACCTTATGGGTATACATAGCTCTTTGATCTCACTGCACAGAATTCATAACTGTTCAATAATGCTATACCATTACACCACACACCTTAAACTATTTCCAGTTTTCCACAATTCCTTCCAAAATCAGCTTCCAAAGCAAAGCAATGTAACATGAAAAGTTCCTGGGAGGGCTTGTTACACAAAAGAACAGCTTGGATACAAACTAATCGACACACATATCCATCTTCTGTTGAGCTTGTTTATCCCTTCTTTCCCTCCATCACTCCTAAAGGTGGGTGCACTTGAGTAATGGAAAGAGAAGGCTCTTCCATCACCACACCCTCTCAAGCACCTCTGGTTTTGGTCCTCAGACAGATTCTGTGTAGGTGATGAAAACTATAAGAAAAGAGAAGCTGTCCCTTTAAAATGCCCTGCTCTGTCCCATATCCCACGTGGAACCAACATCAGCAGCACTTTCCCATTAACATCAATGTGATGCAAGAGGCACCATCCTTTTATATACATAAAACCAGAAAGCTTAACATTCTTTAGTGAGGATGAGCAGGTGAAGAAGCAACGTGTCAGGAAGGCAGAAACCAAGGCAACTCCCCAGCCCTCCCCAAAAGGTACTCCAGTCTTGCACTCCAGCTTCTCTGTGCAACATCATCTCTTTACCCCTCCTCTGTAGAGACTAGTTTAAAGAAAGGAGGGAGCCACTAACAAAACCTGAAGCATAAATGCGACGAAAATGCAATCTAAAGCCGGAAAGGTTTATTCTTCCAATCACACATATTAACTCTATTAAGAAAATGGCATCACTTTTTTTCCACCAAAAAAAAAAAAAAAAAAAAAAAAAAAAAAAAAAACCCGCAAAGATCATTAAAAGGGAGTTATAAAATAGCAAATATAGTGTTTATCTTATCTCAGATCAGTACACATTACCAATAAGTTTAGCAGTTTCTGCACTACCACCTCCCCCCTCCCTCCCCCTGCTTCTCTTGCATTGGATTTTCACGTTTTCTCATTGTCGGTTGAGTTATAAAAGGCTTTTGCCCTTCGAAAGTTTTAAAAAATAAATAAATATTAACTCCTTGGTCCCTGAAAAGTCAAAATGGACTTCAGGGGAAAGGCGGTTCATACTTTTACCTTTAGAGAGAAAAGGGGGAGCATCCCGGATTTTTAGGGATTTTTTGCGATTTTTTAAAAATTTTTATTTGGTTATATGCCTGAGTTCTCCCTCCATTTTGGTTGTTTATGATACTGACAACAAGCTGTCCCTGCTCTGTGCCGATCTCCTGCTTTCATTTAGCACCCCCTCCCCCTACCCCCCCTCGCAGCCACACACCCCGGGCTCACACCTCCCCGCAGACCCCGCACCCCGACCCCGGCTCGCCCACCTGAGGAAAGGGCAAAAACAAATTCATTTCTCCAGAAAAGAAAAACCTCTTTTGAAAAAGGGGCAAAGTTACCCCAAGTCACTCAAAGTGCCCCCCAAATATTGCCGACTGCGGGTTTCCGCCAGGCCCTTTGGGAAGCGACCTTCCCCCAGGATGTTTTGGTGGAAAATGCGGAGAATTTACTCTCAAAACTGAATTTATATTAATTTTTCCCTTATTTTTCGGGTCTCTAATGTCTTCCGCTCTCGCTGCTGCCGCTGCCGCTGTCACAATATTCACAGCACCAGAGAGGAGGAGGAGGAGGAGGAAAACTTTTCAAACTTTCCAGACCCTGAATAAAGGGGTTTCTTTTTTCCCACCGACCTCACCTTCGGGTCCCCAGCCGCATCGCCCCCTGCCCTGTCAGAAGCGACTTCGGGAGTCCTCGCAGCCCCGCTTAATTATTTTATTTTATTTTTTATTATTATTTTTCTCTCTGGGGTCCTGAGCAGGGGCTGAGAGTAGCACAAACTTTTCCTCCTCCTGCCGCCGCCGCTGCTCCTCTGCCCCCTCAGCTAGTCCCATAATTTAAATAACCCTGATATTTCTCCCGCTAAACGCCTCTCCGCCGCCCCGGACCCCGGGAGAACTCACCGCGGGGCTTTAACATCCTCCCTCCGGCCCGTCCGCCGCCTTTACACCGCCCGCGGAATTTCTAATAATTTTTTTCTCATATTTCGGGCTGGACGCGGCGGGCCTGGAAATTGTTTCCTTACGCCTCTTTCCAGCAGCCATTGTAGTGTATGCGCTGCCCCTGCAGCCCAACTTGCAGCTGCCGCGGCCGCCGCCGCCGCCGCCGCCGC